TTCGGCATATTCCGACTTTACAACTTGCCGATTCAAATCTACTGCGCTTCGGACACGAAGAGTAATTTCGACGCCATGTTCCTGAAAAAACAGGAACCATGATTAGTGAATGCTTTGCCGTCGAGCACAAATTCAATCATTAAAATTCTGCTCTCACACTGAAGACGATGGATCGAAACATTTCTTACCATTACAATGATTTTATTAAAATAATTTTTTACTATTTTTACTAATTTCTTAATTCTTATTTCGGAATTTTCCTTTTACTTCAACATATCTTTCCATTTGACTGTATCAGCTGTTGTTTCGTCCTGCTCTTCGGCTACTGATGCAACTTGCAACTTCTGAATTCTTCGCCATTTTAAGCCGCTCTTATCCGCATAAATTCATATAAAAGCCCACGTAAATCTATCCACAGCAACAGAGGTCTATCCTAGGTTCTTTTAACGTCATAAGAGTACCATCCCAGCAATCCGTTTTAAAAGGTTTTTCAAAGATCTCTTTAAATCCATTTTTGTATCTTTCATTCATGCCACATGATCTCCTAGCCCAACTCTTCTTTGTGAGGCAGACTGTCTTGATAGTACCATCCCCATCCCCCACCCCCTCCCCTCTCAAGTCAAAGCCTTCATTGAAAATATGTTGCCGCAATCTGCTGACACTTTTAAGGCGCAGTTATAAGCTTCTACAGTTATAACCAGACATTGGTTGTATACATTCAAAGAAACTAATTTCGGAAGATTTCCTTAGGATACGAGACACTTACCTGTGCTGCTTCACCGCTCTGTAGTTCATTGTTGCTGTAGCCGCAGTGCTCACAGCTGAACGAAATAACGATTACCTGCCGATAAAATGGAATATTTGTGCACAGAATTCGTGTGATTCCCTGAAAAAATTCCGCAATATTTCAACAAAACTTTAAATTTCAAATCAAGGAAAGAACGGTTGTTGAACGAAAACATGCACTAAAAATGTAAAAGCTACGCTTGCTACACATTCCCAGCGGCTATATGTGATCGTTTGCTCGTTTACTCTGGGCTAATTTTCAATATCCATTTGGATTGCGAGCAGCTAAATCACTTAAGTTTCGCTGATAACACAAATGAGATGCTGCAGGAGCTTTTTTCGAAATAAACGAGATGCTGCAGGAGTTCTCTTTCCCTCGCTCTCTTGAAATAAATGAAATGCTGCAGGAACTCAACGCACGAAGTAAGGAAGTGGGCGTGGCAATTCTGACGTTCTTTTCATCTCCCACCCACATTATCGGTACAGTGGTTCGCTTGGAAAAAGAAAATTATTTTTAGGCTAACATTTTGTTTGCAATTGACACACAACGATTCCACTTGCATTGGCACAGCATCATCGCTATCGGCACAGAGATCGGTGAACAGCGGCGTATCCTCGTTGCCCGTTGCACGCTCGTCCTGCCTCTGTTGATGGTCTAGCATTTAATGGAATTATCACTCCTGCAACACAATAAATGGGCGTTTTGGGGCAATTTTTTCCAGTAAAACACCAGAATCGCGTTTGGCACCCGTCCAACTAGGTGCCACAGTATTTTCACGGCTCCACTGATTATATCATGGCAGTGACAATTACAAAGGCATTGGATGGGAAAACACTATGTTACAGCTGCTCAGTGGAAGTGAGGCGTATGAGGTATCCTCTCAAACAACAAAAAAAACCCCTCTCATCCGTCAGACACGATCCTCCATAGTCGGTAAGGCCCTTCATCATGGCCATACCAGTAGTAACATTCGAGACAAGGTGGTGATGCTCAACGTATTAAATTACCTCCATCCCAGGTTAAGATTTCGCAAAATGGCTGTCCCACATTTTTTATGCCTCGAGCCGCTTGCTTGTTTCAGAGATTACGGTTCGGCCTACCAACAGCCGCAGAAAAATTTGATTTCATCTTTTTAACCTGCCGGTTCCCGTCGTTCCACATTTTGATTTCTTTGGAGTTTGCACATCCGCGGGGGTTTTTCTCTTGAGTTCCTTCCTCATATAGTCAACAAGTTCTTAAATAGTTGCGGTTGTGCCTCAAAACCTCATTTTCTGACTTTTTCGCCCCAATTTTTCCCTCCGCTCTCTGCAACGCATACAGTTGTGAGGGTTATGGGTTGGGTAAAATTCCGGGTTATTGCTCTCAACTTCGCAAAATCAACCTACCGCGTTCATCTTTTATCATGTCAAAAGTCAAAAATCCCGTCCTATTCACTCTATCTGAGATGCAAAGACAGTCGAAAATAGTCCGAACATGTGCCAGTAGGAGTGTCCGCTGATGAAGCTGTCAGGGATGGCTCTCTCTTCCAAGGGTTGCTTAGATGTAAGCTGATATGGCGTCAGTACCAATTTACCATCGAAACGAATGGGAAAAATGCAAAGTGACTGGATTACTTCGCTTGCTGAAGTGATGCTTCTTTAATTGGTTTTTTTTCTGTAGATGGCTAATGGTCAAAAAAGCATTGACGATTTTGATGGCAAAAATGTCTTCGTATTGGAACGTACTGATCAGGTTCTCGAGCTGCAAACGATCATCCACGACAGGTGAGCAAATGAAGCTTTTTGCACGCAGTTTGCGTTGTTTATTTGAGTTCTCGATGAGGACTGTGTAAAAATCGTCAAGGAAGCGAACATAAGCTGCTCGAGAGATGCCACATTTCAATTTAATATCGATCGAGAGGAGTGAGGCAGGTGATCATATTAGCTGTGTTTTGGCCTCTTCCGGCATGCAGGGGGAAAGGACGTCGGTTGGGATGAAGCTGTTGCATTATGAGGACGTGGGCCTGTAGGTACTTGATTATCAGTGTTTTACATGAAACTCGGTCGTTTTCCGTGTGACTGTTCGTTCTTTGGAAAGATGCAAATTTAAAGGAAGTCGAAAGAGGATTTCCATACGAGCCAGGCTTTTCACGGCCTGCTTGAAAACGGTATTCTTGAAAAAGTGGTCTAGAGATCACTGGGGAGCAGCTAAATCAATTACGTTTCGCGGGTTACTAAATTCCCTTATTATCAGTGGTCCTCGCGAAATAGACGAGATGCTGCAGAAGCTCTACGCAAGAAGTAAGGATGTCAGATTTCCCTGGGTATAAATTATTTATTTATTCCCCTTTCTTTCTCTTCTACTATCCCTTTAGGTATTGATACATTACATAACTCTCTCAAGTCATATTTCTATCTACTTTTCTTACATTTATCTACTATACATACACAGATCAATTATGTCACTTACTTCTCAATCTACTAACTTCATGTCTACCTATTTATGTCCTTTCCCACTAACGTCATGTCTGCCGTACTTATGTCTTTTTCCTTCAACCTTTTTACTTCCATTCTGCTTAAATAATCTTATTTTATTGTTAATTAACTTACCCTTGTATTTTCTTATATTATTACTTCTATAGATTA